GTGGATCTCTGTGAGTTGGAGACCAGCCTGGTCTACCGAGCGAGTTCCAGGACAGGCTCCAAAACAATACAGAGAAACCCTGTCTTGAAAAAAAAACCAAAAAATAAATAAATAAATAAAATCAACTGAACAAACAAATGTTTTTAATGAGTTGAAACTACTAGTTCAGTAATTGTAGACTGAGGCAGGAACACCATTTGGGCCCAGAAGTTTGAGACCAGAGTGAATCAGAGACACCAGTTCATTATGTTTTTGTTCTTTGTTTCTGAGACAAGAGTTCTCATGCATGCCAAGCTGGCCTGGAACTCACATTGATCCACCTGCCTCTGCCTCCCAGGTGCTGGGATTGAAGGTATCATGTACCACCATACCTGGCCCATTTCAAGTTTTTTCTTTTTAATTAAATATTTTAAAGATTTATTTATTATATATACAGTGTTCTGCCTACATGTGTCCCTGCAGGTCAAAAGAGGGCACCAGATCTCATTACTGATGGTTGTGAGCCACCATGTGGTTGCTGGGAATTGAACTCAGGACCTCTGGGAGAGCAGCCAGTGCTCCTAACCTCTGAGCCATCTCTCCAGCCCTTAATTAAATTTTTAAAAAATGTTTTCTCTTATGTGTATCTGTGCACCTTTTTTGTGTCCCGTGCCTGCAGAGACCAAAAGCTGGCATCAGATCCCCTGGAATTGGAGTCACAGCCAGTCATGAGCTGCCAGGTAGGTAGGTCATTTGGAAGAGCAGCCAGTGCTCTTAACCACTGCGTCATCTCTCTGGCCCCAGTTTTATGTTCTTATTATTATTTAGACAGAATTCTCGCTATGCAGGTCTGGCTGACCTGGAACCCAGTCTATAGACGGAGGTGGCCTTGAATTCACAGAGATCTATTTGCCTCTGACTCCTAGAGCTCGGATTAAACATGTGTGGCCCATACACTCCCCTGTTTGTTTTACATTTTTAATGGAAGCTTCCAGAACATACAGGAATTGGAACTTTTCTAGACATAGGCAGCATTCGGTTCATATCTGGACCACAAACATACTGAGGAATACTCAAATACAATCAACCAGCACCAGGAAAGCTCAAAGAGGGGTTGTACTGGGACAATATCTACCAGTCCCCCCCCTCCCACTAACATGAATTGTCAAAAGAAACTGTAAAAGCAGAAGTTGTTGAGAGCTGCCCTGGGAACACATCTCAAAGTATTGAGCAATGCTGACTGATGCAACCCCATACTTTATTACTCACCTGAGAAGCAGAGTAGCTATTTGGAGAATGAGAATACTTTAGCATCACTGGAGGCATCTGGAAAAGCAGGTCTGTGTGATTTGCCAGGGGCCACCAACATGGTCCTGGATCCTGAACTGCTCCAGCTCTACATGAGAAGCTTGTACGTGGCTTCTTCTTGTTTTCTTTCTTTCTTTCTTCTTTTTTTTTCTTTTGGTTTATTTTGTTCCAAAACAGGGTTTCTCTGTGTAACCCCCTTCCTGTCCTGGAACTCACTTTGTAGACCAGACTGACCTTGAACTCAGAAATCTGCCTGCCTCTCTGCCTCCTGAATGCTGGGATTATAAGTGTGCACCACCACCACCTGGCTCCTCTCCACGACTAGAAGTAAAGCAATTAGAAATAATTTAAAACCAGGGCAGAGTTCACCTGCCCGCAAGTTACGTGTGAGAACTGATATTGGAGGGATTTAGCCCTGACATCCAAACTGTTTCGTTGTTGAGGAAAAGTCTTCAATGTTGGTAAGGGAAGTCCCCTACCTGTCGAGTCTCAGGCCAGCCTTTGCCTTGCTATTTTGAGATACCATCTCACTGGCTCTGAGGGTGAGGATGACCTTGAATGCTGAGCATCTTGCTTTTACCTCCCATGTGTTGGGGTTACAGGCCTGCCTGAGCCACCACACCCAGCAGCCAGACGAGAAAACAAGTAGCCGATCCATCGCCTAACTGAGGGAGGCAAACAGTGGCAGAGGAAGTCAACAGAGGCACAACAGTGTTTTCCATTTTCGATTTATATTCCATTTTCTTCTGTTTGCCAAAACACAGGGAGTGTTCTCTGTACCCCAAGTAATTCTTTGCAGATAGAGTGCCCTAGAAACATTTTGAGTTGTCAGCCGGGTCAAAAGTCAGATTCCACTGCTGGCTGGTTTACAAGCATTGGTAACTCCAGCTCCAGGGGATCTGGTGACCCCCCTTCTGGTCTCATGTGACACTGTTTGCAAATGGTACACAGACATACCCCTGGTGAAACACCCATACAAATAAAATAAGAATAAATTCCGGGTGGTGGTGGCTACAAACACCTTTAATCCTAGCACTCAGGAGGCAGGGGCAGGAGGATCTCTGTAAGTTCAAGGCTAGTCTGGTCTACAGAGTTCCAAGACAACCAAGGCTACTCAATGAAGCCCTGTCTTGAAAAACCAAAATAAATATCTTTTTTTTATTTTACGTTTTTAAAAGGAGTTCAAATGCATCGTAGAAATGAAGGGAACAGACCCTCACCCAGCCCCTGCTTTAGCAGCCAAGACAGGCTGCAGAAAAGACCCAGCAGGAGGTAGACCTCTGACTCAGCAACTTGTGTTGAGTTTCTAGACTTGAGTTTTCAGCCTTTCCCTGACCTCCTAGTCACTAGGAAGCCAGGTACTCTCCTTGTGGCAAGGAACCAATCATAAGTTAGCTTGTGGGCTCTGGGGGTGCTTTATGGTAACAGTGGCTGTAGAACATAGTAACCACCCCCCCACACACACACTCCCCTTGCTCCACCACAATAAATTCCCTGCTTCTCCATCCCTCCTCCTCCTCCTCCACCCACTGTGTTGAACAGATGGAGGACCCAAGTTAATACAGTTAATTAATTAACTAAAGACTCTCTTAGTGATTTGGGGGTTCATAATTTGGGCAAAACAGAAACATATCACCTAAGCCAGCAAAGTTTTAATTATTTTTAGAACCAAAACAGCCAAAGAACAATGGAGAAGGAGCTCTTCCGAGCTGGCCCAGAGAAACAGGTAGAACTCCACTCATTCATCCACACAGCTCTCTTCACTGTCTAAGCTGGCCTGGGTGTCTCAAGCTCCCTTCTCCAGCATCTGGAGTGCTATGATTTTGGGTCTTGACCAGAAATGGTTAATGCTTTAAACTTTGATATTTGGCATACTAAAGATGGCTTTAAAGCGTATCTGTTGTGCTTGTCAGTTAAGAGAGTCTTTACCGTTTCCTGTTGTGGGGGAAGCTGTGGCCTGGTTAATGAGACAAAACATATGGGGCTAAAGCAACTCCAAAGTGAAAAGGATCCGTGTGGCATGCCTCCTTCCCGGTCATCCGGGTCTTTTCGCGATCTGCTTCTGCTCTGCATTTCTATGACTGTCCTGAGAGAACCAAGTTTCATGAGTCTCCATCACACTGGCCACAAATACGGAGACAAACATGTCTGAAGACCAGCGCCTGCTCTCCTAACACCTACCCTATGAAGAGCCTGAGTGAATCATCAGATTTTTTTTTTCACTCAGAGACAACATGAGCAGGGTGTGAGTCTTAGGGGATATTCTGCTTGGACGGACACCTAAACTGTCCTAACTTGAGGAGCCTCACTGGAGAGTGGACTGCCAGTGTTAGCCAGGTCTATGACTGCTGCTAGGGACCTGGGCTTTTGCGCTCCTCTCCTCCCTAGCACACATCTCTCAGACACACTCCTCCTGTCTTCAGGCACTGCTGGGCTATAGCTTAGTGGCAGAGGGCCTGCTTAGCACCGGTGAGGCCCTGGCTTCTACCTCTAGCAATGCAACAACAAAGTAACAACACTGAAAGCATAAAGGGGTTCATTTGGTACATTGTAATCATGACTCCTTCTGAAGACAGCCTAGTAATTCAGTGCTCCTGAGCTCTGCTGCAGCTAGGGCTCCTGAGATTCAAATCCCAGCTCTTTGATCCTGGGCAAATTACTTGGCTCTCTGCACTTGGAGACTGTTGTTTTCTATCAGAAAGGGTTGATGACAGGCCTACTTTGAAGACTGAATGAGATAACCGGGAAGCACCAGAACATCACTGGGTGAGAAAAGGCTATAACACGGCACACAAATAATGTATCGGTTTGTACATGATCATTTTGTCACTAAAGATGATGTTGGGCCCCACTGCCTTTGTGTTCTCTGTCTCTCCTCGGCTACATACATCGTGTGAGTATATATAGTTTGCTAATTTAAAAATATTCTTTGTGGGCTATCCTACTATCAATATATCAAAAGCCATTACAAAAATCACCTAGAATCACTATATTCAGAGACTTACTTCATATAATTATTAATATTATTTTAAAGATAGGATCTCTCTGGCCTCAAAGCTGGACTAGAACTCACTACATAGCATAAAAGACCTTCTGGTCCTCCTGCCTCCATCTCATGAGTGCTGGGACATGGGCCCACACCACAAAGCCTGATTTGATTGACTATTTTGCCATTTGTTCTCAATTTGTCTCTAGTCTCAAATACATGTATTTTAAGATATTTTAAAAATTAAAGGCCTAAATAGTGTACTACCACCTTTGTGACTCACAGTCCTCCTAGTTCCAAGGGATCCAATGCCCTTTTCTGGCCTCCATGTGTACCAGGCACACATGTGCTGCACACACCCACATGCAAGCAGAACACTCATGCGTAAACGTAAAAATCACATGTAAAAGATAAATTTATTTTCATGTGCATTGCCTTTTTGCCTGCATGTATAGTTTGAGCAAGGGTGCTAGACACAGACAGCTGTGAGCTGCCATGTGGGTGCTGGGAATGGAACCCTGGTCAAACTCCGCAAGAGCAGTCAGTGCTCTTAACCACTGAGCCATCTCTCCAGCCCCCACCTTCGTCTTTTTAATTAAAGCAAGCATGCACTATAGATTAGGTTGAAGATTTTTCTCTCAGTCCAATTTCTGCTCCTTCTATATAGGTCACAGATGTCATGAATTTGGTATGTAAGAGTTTACTCACACAAAATATGAGATTAGTATAGGTTCCAAAGGCTCTGTTTATTTGTGAATATGGTACCATAATGTATACAGTTCTGCAAATTGTTTTTCTTTGTTCCACATTGGTTCTGAATTCTCATTTATACTTTGAAAAAAACGAAGCCGATTTCTTAATTCCTGTACATATACCACCATGTGAATGTTGGTCCTTCTCTGATGTTGCACACTTAAGTTGTTCTTGACTTTTCACTATTATAATCAGTCTAATAGTCACTGCAACTGCAAGAAAAGTTTTAAGATTTACTTCATATTTATTTGTGTGTATGTTTCATGCATATACATGTGTGTATGTGTGTACATAATTTGCAGATGCCAAAACAAGGCATCGGATCCCTTGGCACTGGAGTTACAAGCATTTGTGAGGTTTCCAATGTAGATGCCAGAACTGTATAGCAAGTGCTTTGAACTGCTAAGCCATCTCTCCAGTCCTAAGTGCAAAAAACAGGTTAGGTATTTCCAAAGAGACCATTTGTATTAGGAGATGAAGGTGCCTAGCTTCAGAAGTCTGTTCCTGTGGCTGGCTGCCTTTGCTCTCTTGATACTATAACGCTGCTCACCATACAGCCACACTGGAATCAAAACAGTAAGGGGTCCCATACTATGGTTTAACTTCCACTATACTCCCAATAGGCTTCAGGTTGGAAGTCAAATCTACAATACATGTACTTGGGGTTCTCTTGTGTATTCCTGGATGTCTTGGAACTCATTCTGTAGATCAGGCTGGCCTCAAACTCAAAGATCTACCTTCCTCTGTCTCCCCAGTGTTGGGATTAAAAAAGGCATGTACTATCACGGCCCCTCTGAATACAAGTACCTTTGAGGGGCGTTTATAATCTAAACACCATAAAAGCATTTTTCATTTGACTGAAATTTTTCTTTCTTTGGTTTGTTTTGTTGTTTTTGAGACAGGTTTCTCTGTGTAGCCATGGTTGTTTTAGAACTCTATGTATATCAGGCTGGTCTTAAACTCAGGTGCGCCAGCCTCTGCCTCCTAGTGCTGGGATGATAGGTGTGACACACTAACAGCTGGCTTGATCAAAGTTTCTTACACCTTTAAAGAGCAAGAGGCAAGAATTTAAACACAGTGAAGGATGCCAGTGTGCTTGGTGCTGAGGGAGGAAATACACAGGTGAGTGCCAGCCAGTCGGGCTCATTTGGGGGGGACTGGTTCGAGACAGGGTTTCTCTGTACTGCTCTTTAGACCAGGTTGGTCTCGAACTCACAGAGATCCGCCAGCCTCTGCCTCCCGAGTGCTGGGATTAAAGGCGTGCACCACCACCGCCAGAAAATCGGGTTCCTCTTTTACAAGATAAATTGTTGGAGATGCACTGGGTTCCCATCACCGTGCAAGATGTCAGTATAAGCACACAGGGTCAGATGGACCAAAAAAAAAAAAATGCTGCAGGATGCTTGCTTATGAAAGTTCAAAGGATGGAGAAATGAGAACTCTGGAGAGATTATCTGGAAGAAGACCTAAGGGATTTTTCTTTTCTTTTTCTTTTTCTTTCTTTCTTTCTTTTTTTTTTTTTTTTGTGGTGTTGGGGGTACAGTTCAGGACTAAAGGCTGGTGAGGCAGCTGTAAAACTGTCCGGACAAGGGTTCCTCTGGTAAGACAGCCTGAATTTAGCACAGGAGAGAGAGCTTGAGTTCCTTCCCCAGTACAAAATAAATAAATAAATAAATAAATAAATAAATAAATAAATAAAAGCTGGAACAAATGATCTTCGTTATTGTTTCTTCCGGAATTGAAACTTCAAATGTCACGATTGTTAATTACAGAGGAAACCAGGTTGACTTTTAAAACCATTAGTCCTCACCATCACTTACCACAGACCGTAGGTGGTGGGAAGTGTGATGTTAGCGAGCCAATAGTAGATGGAGGACTTGGCTTCCACGCTGTTATTTCTTCTCAGCGTCTGTCCCTGGACCAAATCCCCAAATGGAGGCTAAAGGAGTGGCCGAAGTGTAAACGCCAGTCTCGCTGGTTGGTTTGTACTGTTCCGTTCTATAGAACAATAAGGCGCTTTCCATAAAACGTGCCCGGGGAGGGGGCGGTTAAATTGCGTCCTATTAAGCTGAGATTGTCAGGCGTCCTGGTTTTTTATTCGATGCTCGGGTCTCAAGGGCTGACTCTACTTTTCGTGGCTTGCACCGGGGCCCGTGAACTTACTTTTTTTAACCGACTGGTACGAGGCGCTGGGGAGAACCGGCGCTCCCGGGCCGCGGACTTCCACCGCAGGGCAGGTGGCGGCCCGGCCGGGAGGTGCAGGAAGCGGCCGGCGGGGCGGAGCGGGCGCCGGGGAGCAAGGCCGCGGGCGCCCCGCCCGGGCTGGTATGCGGCCGGGAGTGACGCGGGAGGAGGGGTCACGTGACGCCCGTGGAATGCCAACAATGTAGCGAATGTCCCGCTCGGGTCTGCGCGTCGGAACCGCGGCGTGAGCGCCCCGGGAAGATGGAGCCTCCGCCGCCAGCGCCGCCGCCGCTTCCCCGGGCTCCCCCGACCCTACGGGGTCAGCAACCACTGCCGCCACCGGCGCCCGGTCTCCCGGCGCGCGAGGTCCCGGAGCCGCGGGCCAGGACGCCGCCGAGGGTGTAGAGCGCTCCCGGAGGTGAGGCTGGGGCCGCGGCCGGGAAGTTCGTCGGGACCGGGCTCCGCCCGCCTGGCCCCGCGGTCGAGCCGCCCTGCGGGCCGCGGAGCGTCCGTCGCGCCGGTGCCGGGCGGGTGCGGGGCAGTGGGTGGCGGCGTTGGGGCGGCTTTGTTGTGCTCGGCGGCGGCGTCCGGAGGCTGAGACCCCGCGTCCCGCGGCGCCGACCCCGCCCAGCCTGGGCCTCCGGGCGCCGCGCCGTCCACCACGCGCGCTCGCGGCCTTGCGCGCTGTCTCCCGGGCCCTCGGCGGCGCGGTCCCCGCCCGGTGTCCGGTCCCGGGCCGCGCCGTCCGGCGGTCGCTGCGGGGTCGTTGCGTAACGCCTCTCCGGAGCCGACTTCTCCGGGGCCGGCCTCCGCTGCTCCTCCCTGTCGCGACTCTGCGGCCCGAGTTCGCTGCGCCCCAGCCCGGGTCACCCACACCTGAGCCTCCTGCGGGGCCCGGGTCTCACCCGGGGCGACCTCGGCTCCCGGCCTCGTGCTCTAGGCCGCCGGGTGACAACAAACGCCTATGGGTGAACGGAGGAGACCTGGACGTGCAGAACTTGTTGACTAAAAGTTTAAGGGAGGACTTTTTTACTTCTTTAAACTTTTCCTGCGGGTCCGTAATGTGGCTGCTTATTAGGGGATTTGTACGAAGCCTTGCGCCGTAGTTTCCGTTTAACCCCGGCTTAGGTCTGCAAATGATGCTTCCCATTTTTGAGCTCTAGGCCACTTTTTAGGATTGCACACCCCCAACCCCCGCAACTGTTGTAATAAGGCATTAACAAAAATCTTCCAGTTCAGGAATGTAGACGCTGCTTAGAAAGCCTGTTTTAACTTAACTGTAATTAACGAGGCATTACAGTATTCAGCCTCTCGTAAAATTTTGCCTCGTTATCCAGGAATAGAGAAGATTGTTGAAGGAATCCGCCGTGGTTCCTGTGAAATTGCTTAGCTTTTACCACCTTTCGAAGTGTCAGCTTCCTATCATACCAGGAGAGTCTGCTGTACAGTTATTAAACTGAGTTACAGAACCACAGAAGTTTTGAACCGAGTTATTCTTCAGCCTCTTCAGTCTAGTTGGAATAGTTAAGTGTAAATTGGAGCTGTCGGTATTTCTTTCCTTAGCAAATCACAGCTTTGGTGGGAGGGACTTGCAGTGGTGGGCGGGGAACACGCTTACAATAAAATGCCTTGTTATTTTAAAGGCTCTGTTGTAAATAGCCTGCCCTAGGCTCTTAAAGCCCACGGGAGTGGGGAGTGGAGGGGTTGGGACTGGTAAATCCATACTAAACGCATACGAAAGCTATTGGGGAGCTTTGTGGGGGAGGGCAACGCGGGGGTAAGGGTGTCGTGTTTGTATTGGGAAATCCAGACCAACATGCATTTATTTCATGCTTGTAATAACGTGCGAAACTTGCAAGTAATATTCTATACTATTTAAAAATAGTATGCTTGAAGGACGGCAGTTGATGAAGTCACTGTGTTTACGCTGTCCTGTCCAGTTGTCCACAGAAGGAGCGCATCAGCTTTGTGGACACTGTAGAAAGTCTCAGAAATCTCCGTGCTCCGATCGGTGATTTCTCTGAAACAGCTGGAGTTAAGAGAAGTACCACCCAGTGGTAGAGGCACTGCTGCCTTCCTTCATCAGTTCTGTGCCACCTTCCAAAGGGCAGCCCGAGTCGGGGTTTTTGCCCGAGTTTTTAAGGATCTGCTTGGGCTGCTAGTGTCCCTGAATGCTACTCCACTGCTCTCTCAGTGCTTTGGAGCCTAATGTTACTTGACTTATTGCTTCATCTCGAAGGTATAACAAAACAGGACTGTTGGAAGTAAAGATAATTGGTGGTGATGCTAAAATTAGGAAGCAAATTTGGCATTGCTTAATGCTTGCCATTCACTTGGCAAATGCTTTATGTTGGCTAACGTCTAGACTCTGTCGATTTAATTGTGAGAGTGGTGGGGGTTTTTCCCCTAAAGTTAATTAACAAGTACTTTTTGTTTGTGTGCCAATATTTGACATACATAGGATTTTTCTGGCAGAAGAATGAAAACTGTCATATGTCATAGCAGGAGTTTACATTTTTTTGTCGACCCTACAGATACCATTGCAGACCCTATGGATCTCTAAATCAGTTGGGGTAACACAGACCTTGAATGAAAATTGGTTTTGAATGAAGTAGGCCTGGGTTTTGGATATGAAGCTCTCTGCCTCCTGGCAGTTATCTGAAGCAGGAATGCTGAGTGCTAGCACTTTCCATTACTAATTAACTGCATCCTACCTCCTGACTCTTTTCTCCTGTTTTATTCTATTTTTTTTTAACATTAAAAGTCCCCCAGACAGCACTCCCAGCATTGTCTGTCTCCTTGGATACATTCTTCACTCTTGTGTGTTCAAGCCTTTGCACGGAAGTTGGAGACTCCAAGAGTAGCTCCACACTCCTCCAGCAGCCAGAGCCCTTCGGTTCTTCCGGTTGGGGTAGAACATTCCTTCCTCTGGAGGGTTCCTCTAAGTGGTCTCACCTGGAAGAACCATGCTCTTGCATCAACAGTCAGGTACACACACACTGCTACTTCGGCTACGATTGTGACTCTCCAGTGGGATGCACTGTACATTCTGACTCTCCAGTGGAGTTTACTGTACATTCTGACTCTCCAGTGGAGTTTACTGTACATTCTGACTCTCCACTGGGGTGCACTGTACATTCTGACTGTCCAGTGGGGTGCACTGTACATTCTGACTGTCCAGTGGGTTTACTGTACATTCTGACTGTCCACTGGGGTGCACTGTACATTCTGACTGTCCAGTGGGGTTTACTGTACATTCTGACTGTCCAGTGGGGTGCACTGTACATTCTGACTCTCCAGTGGAGTTTACTGTACATTCTGACTGTCCAGTGGGGTGCACTGTACATTCTGACTGTCCAGTGGAGTTTACTGTACATTCTGACTCTCCAGTGGAGTTTACTGTACATTCTGACTCTCCAGTGGGACACAGGGAATTGGGAGAGGGGTGGGTGCAGAGGAGGCACAGGTGGCTCAGAGATGTGGAGCCCTGCTGGGGGCGGCCTGCCCTGTCCTCTTAGAGATTGTGCAGGGAAGGAGCACGTGTTTGTCTACTGTGGCCACTGCATAGGCTCCCCAGGGCCTATGCTGATTATTGAACAGTAGGGAAACTGTGTTTTCCTAAACCTCTAGGAAGACAGTCACTGCCTTCCTTAGAGACCCCCCCTTAGGAAAGGACACTTTCAGCCTGTGGCTTTCCAGTGGGGGGGGGGTATGCTATTCTGACATTTAGTGTCTAACTTAAGGCCTGGCCTTTACTCCTGATTTAGTTTCATCTTTGATAGTTACTTATAGTGGGAATGTGATTTAAATAATAACAGGAGGTTTTGGTCTAAGAAATACTGTTTTAGGGGGCTAGAGAGATGGCTCAGAGGTTAAGAGCACCGACTGCTCTTCCAGAGGTCCTGAGTTCAATTCCCAGCAACCACATGGTGGCTCACAACCATCCATAATGAGATCTGGTGCCCTCTTCTGGCATGCAGGCATACATGGAGGCAGGATGTTGTATTCATAATAAATAAATACATCTAAAAAAACATTTAAAAAAAGAAATACTGTTTTAAAATAATGCCTCTTCCCCCTAAAAAACCTAAACCATATGAACAAATGAAGAGACCCAATAGCAGGGTGGCACACATTTGCCAATCCAATCTAAGGTGTGCTAAGGCAGGTGGGCTGAGTTTGAGGCCAGCCTGGGCCACATGGTTAGACCATGTCACAAACAAGGCTGGCACGATGGCCCAGACCTGAGTTTGATTCCCCAGAACCTACATGGTAGAAGGGAAGAGAGGACTGACTCCTGTAAGTTGTCCTCCTACCCCACAGGTGTGCTCTGATGCTCATACACTCACACACAAACAAATGCAAAACAAAGTTTTTAATTAAAAACAACAACAAAACCAACTAAGCTAAAATAGAGAGCCAGTGTATGTCATTAGTACCATCCTACCAGGTATGGATTTTGGCTGGTTTGCTGGTTGGTGTTTGATGTCTGTACGGCAGCCTAGGTGGGATTGAAGAGCATGAGGATGAGGAGAGCAAGAATTCTAGAACATGTGCTGGCATTCTCCAGGATTGGGCTGAGGACCGCACTGGGTTGATAGGGCGTACGGGAGGAATGCTTAAATGCAGCGCTCAGTTGTTGGTAGCCACCAGCTAAGCGGAAGATTCGGGAATGGGCTCCAGTTTTGCAGGACAGTGACTTTGTTTAGGAAGTTGTTACAATTTTTTGTTTGTTCTGGGGTCTTTGTTTGCTTTGCTTTGAAGTAGGGTCTCATTGGGAAGTCCTGTCTAGCCTGGAACTCGCCGTGTAGACTAGGCTGGCCTGGATCCTTCAGCAGTCTTCTTGTCCTATATAAGTGCTGGGATTACAGTGGGAGTTACTAAATTGTTTCAGATTTTCAGTTTCAGTGTTTTAGTTTCCTTTAAGATATATTTAGAACAGTTGTTAATGCCAAACAATTTTCAAAAACTAGATTTACTTTATTTGATATTCCTAAGGGTCATATTTATAACCTTATTGATGAAGGAAAAATTCCAATCTGTCAGGTCTTGTCAAACAGTGTGGGAATAACTCAGTGTAGCTCATCTCCAGCTGTAGTCTTCATTTGATTGATGAACATTTCCATGGAAAAATTCTTTTAAAAGTTCAGGATTTGACTGAAAACCAACTGTATTCAAATGCAGTCTCCAAACTGAGAACAGATTTTTTTTCTCTTTGATGACACTGAAAACATGCTTCTTTCTAGATGATTCTGTCAAGGACCCAGGACACTGGGAGGTGCTATTTTACCTCTTAAAAGACAGGGTGTCCCGGGGTCTTCTAAGACCAACACTTCTCACAGAATGTTGGGGATAGTCAGGGAGTAAACTCAGAACACTGGTGAAAACCAAGTGGTAGCTTTATGGCAGTAACTGAAATCCTGTGTTTGCCCGAGCTTCATGAGTGGGAAAGGGGAGGCAGAACCAAACCCTTAGCCCTGCTGCTGCTTCAGGCCGCCACCACTGGTGTTTCTTAGCTCAGTTGCACCCTGGCACAGAAGACTCTTGACTTCCCCTGCCCTGGTCAACTGTTTAAGATGAGGTCTCAATAGCCCAGTTGCAGGGCAGTGGTGGCGCACGCCTTTAATCCCAGCACTCGGGAGGCAGAGGCAGGTGGATCTCTGTGAGTTCGAGACCAGCCTGGTCTACAGAGCGAGTTCCAGGACAGCCTCCAAAGCCACAGAGAAACCCTGTCTCGAAAAACCAAAAAAAAAAAAAAAAAAAAAAAAAAAAAATAGCCCAGGCTGTCTGCAAACTCACTATGTAGCTAAAGACTAACTTGTTGTCCTTCCTGCCTGCACACCCAACTTTGTGGGGCTTGCTTTTGTTTGTTTGTTTGGGGAGGAGTGGGTTGTGACAGTAGGAGCTGCTGTGATTGGAAGTCAGGGCCTCCTGCTTGCTAGGTGAGTGCTCTACACTGAACCACACCTCCAGTCCCTTGGCTGACTGTATGATTGCAGTGTTTGTGGAACATGTGGGGACGCTGTGTGGATGTCCTCCCTTGGTGTGTTTCAGTGTCTGTGTTAGAGTGACAGAGGGGCTAAGATTTGGTATGAGAGCTGCCCCTGGAGTTTAGACTCCAACCTGAATGGGACTTTGTCGCCCACTATC